AAAATGAATAATTGTGTTAAATCAAACCCTGAGTGACTGTGTTAAAATAGGAAGCGTGGCCACAGCATGGCCACCACACACACAAGGACAAGGGTGCTGAGAAAAGCACCCTCACAGTTGTCTGGGTCGCAGGCTGAACTAGCTGCTTTTCGGATGGAACATCATTTATGCTCGACCTACAAACTGTGGTCACTCAGACTAGCGTATTTGGCAGACTGTTCCTGAAATATGAACAAAATGAGTCTATCACTTAAAGGGAAACAATGGACAGTATTTGTCGCCAGTGATAAAATTCAAACTTTCAAGTGAAAACGAGAATGAGAAAACTTCTGCCCCTGTGAAGTCGGCATCTTCCCGGTATTTAAGGACGGCTATGTCAACATTTGGAAGATCTACATTAACTCAAGAAGCCAATATTTTCCAAATGACCAATGCATTACGTTACAAAAGCATGCCTCGGTAAAGATTCATTCAAAAATAAATGGGGTTTGGGGTGCCTGGGTGGCTCAGTGGGTTAAGTGGCTGCCTTCAGCTCGGGTCATGATCCCAGGGCTCCCTGCTCAGGCTCCCTCTCCCTCTGCCTGCTGCTCTGTCTGCTTGTGCTCTCTCTCTCTCTCTCTGCCAAATAAATAAATAAAATCTTTTAAAAAAATAATAAAATAAATGGGGTTTTGGGGTACCTGGCTGGCTCAGTCAATAGAGCATGCAACTCTCCGTCTCAGAGTCGTGAGTTCAAACCCCACATTGGGTGTGGAGCCTACTTAAAAAAGGGGGTGTGATCTTAATAGCATACCAAAAAATTGACTAATAGGATTTCAGATTCCATTTAACTAATCTTAAGAAACTACTGGGTATTGATAGAGCATCAAAGAAAAATATCCACCATTACCTAAAAAAAGCTATTAAAATGTTCCTCCATTACCGAACTAGGTAACTCTGTAAAGCCAGACTTTCTACACATTCTTCAACATACTGCAACAGACTGAATGCTAAAGCAGTTAAGAAAATCCAGCTAACACACTTAAAAATGGTTAAATTAATAAATTGTCAATGTGTATTTAAAATTTTTTTTTAAAAATCCAGCAGTTTTTATTTATCTGGACATGAAGGAGAAAATGTAAAGGCAAAAATGTAAAATGGTACCACTCTTCTCACCAAATTTCTTTGACTTTGAAAATACAAATTGTTGACTTGCTATACTATACACCTGAAAGTATTATAACACGGTAGGTTAACTATACTGAAATTTAAAATAATTAAAAATTAGTTACATTTTTAACATATAATTATCTTTATAAAAATGTTCTTTATATTATTAACATGCAGTGGGTACAATGGATTTATTATTATTTTGAAATAAATTATAAGGAAACATTCTCTTAAACATCTCAGTTTGTTTCAATTTCTAATATGATAAATATCAATAGGTAAGGCACCTAATCAAGAGCTCTTTAGTTTCTCCAATAATTTTTAGGGCTGTAGAGGAGTCCTGAAACCAAAAAGTTTAAAAGAACGGAACCACGGGCTGATGGAAAGCCTCTTGGTTGGTCACAGCTGTTCTTGATCATCTCAGTCCCAGAGTCCCACCCCGTCCCAAAGCTGTTCCGGTCCCTCACTCCCGTTCTGGTTCTGCCACCTGCCACTCCCTCCACCAGTCTCTGGGGGGGCTTGACCTTCCAGCCTATTCTAAGGAAATGAGCCTCTCTCCTAACCTCAGCAGAGCATTCATGCCGCATGCCAGGCATTTTCCTACAAGTGCAATGCAGCAAATGCTGGGGGAAAACAACAAAAACCTGATTTACAAGAGCAAGCAAGTTTTACAAAGTACAGTTTCACCAAACCTGACCCAAGGTTGGCAACGGGGTGGCTTGGCCAATACAGTCTACCAGGGCATGAGCAAGACCGATGAATGTCACGGCCTTATCCAGCCTTTCTAGAGGAAGACTACCCCAGCCCTTTGCCCACTGCTCGTGCCTGGTAGCCCCGGTCAGCCTGTGAGGCACTCAGTTCCCTCACTGCGATCCTGCATTAACGTCTTAGCGTGGACGGTCTAGACCTCACATGGCAGTGCCCTTCCTGTTTCAAAAACCCTCATCTCCTTATAAAATTCCCTCCAAGGATGCTAGTTCCTTCTGGGAAAAAGGTCTTCAGGTGTCTCATGTGCAAAGTACAAATGATGCCAAGAGTCAAATGAATGAGGAGCCACTCAGCCACTCCTCTGGTGGTCAGCAGCCTCCTATCACCACCAGGAGAGGGGACATGCATTCTAATGATTAATGATCACTGTCTTATAAGAATCCTAACAGAAATACCAATACTGAAATCACCAACCAAAAAGAGGAAAATTTAGGCACATGTACACACGAGAGAAAATTCAATGTTTTCTTTCAAGATTATTACTCCACAGCAAAGTCCACAGGTGACATTGACCAGGAGGCAGAAACACAATCATTATTTGAACCAGGCTGGCTAGTCCCTGAAATTTCGTTACTTATGCTATTTACTTCTTTTTAATTTTTCCCTTTCTTAGTTAATTCTATCTAGAAGATTACCTTCCTTCCTTCTTTATTCCACCTGCCATTCTGCAAACTATATCCTTGATTCTTTGCCAAAGGCTAATTCTGCTCAAAAGCTGGTCCTCAGAATTAACACCTGTGTGCTTCTTGCTGGAAGGCATGTAATTTGGCCTGAAGAAGCCTGAATACATTGTCACCAAGGGCTGCCTGAGCATCAACTTCACAGCTGTTTGTTGTCTCCAATCTTGATTGTCAAGCTAAATTCTGCTTCATCTTGTCTCTGCCACTTGCCATCCAAGAGGCTATGTTTCAAAGTGCATGAGACAGCCCGTTCTAGGGTGCAGGTGAGCACAGAATTTCTTGACTGGACTTTAGAGGAAGCACTGAGCTGTCAGCTGTAGGCTAGCACTCCAGTGGGTGGCAAGGGTACATGCTTAGGTAGGGCTGTTAGCTGCCAGCTGGCAGGGAACTAGGGGGCCCAGACTGCCAGTTTGGGACAGCCGTTAGTAAAGGCGAAAGTTCAGAGTGCCTCGGGCCACTGTCAATTTGAGGAATGGCCCCAGCAGGGGGCTAGATAGGAACTCTTCTAAGTACCACCTATTAGCACTTGGGGAAGGTCTTGGTCGCTGTGGCCAGCAGGTGATGATCTGCTCCAATGCACATCAGCAGATCTTTCCCCCAGTTGCTCATGAGCCTAAAAGGTTGGCAATAGCTACCAGATATTCCCTTTGTAAAGACATGGTTGTTGCGGTCAGTTTGGAGTGACTGTGCACCCTGTTTCAGCTTCCTAATGTTTCAGAGGGGAATATAAGACACTTATAGATATCTTCTGACAGTTTAACCTTCTGTCTTTGTAACTCTACCTACTACAGGAAAAAAAACAACAGTTCCAGACAATCCTCCTCACCTTTTTGGCTTGTGGCCCAAGGCAGAAGAGAATAGCCAGTACTCTTTTGGGCCCAGTGGTTTGTCCCAAATGGTGTGAAAGGATGCTTCTTCCCATCAACTCATATCACACTATTTCTCCCTATTTTTAATAATAATTGCCTCTTACTTTTTTGATCATTTCCAAAATCCTAGTCCTGTGCTGAAAATTCCTTCAACCTTCTCTCTCAGTGACTGGCCACCCTATCTAAAATTTTACACACATACACACAGACTCCAAATCCTCCTTTTTGCTTTATGTTTTCTCCTTAAAGCTTAATGCAAAATAAATTTTATATTTATTTGTCTACTGTCTGACTGCCCTATTAGAACAGAATACCACTGCTGCTCTCCCTTGCAGAGGCAGCCCTGCATGGCTGCTCAGACTGGTGTCTGAGAACTTTCAGTGCACGACGACATACCATGAGGGCAGGAATTTTTGTCTCGTTTGTTCACTGCTATATCCTCAGCACCTAGAACTGTGCCCAGCACAAAATAAATTACTTGTTGAATGAATGAATGAATGAATGAATGAACAAGCCAGGGGTTCCTGGACTGTTTCATATTCTGCAACTCAATCCTGCATTCTCTATTCATACCACAGAAACTTCAAAGGTCTCACTCGTTCCTGACAGCAAACTGTCCCCAAGGTCAACTCCAGAAACCTTGAAAGGCCATCTCCCATTCAGACAATCTATCCTCTCACCCCCAAGTTGTCTTTTTAAATCTGGCTCTACTTATCAAGTCTGTCCTGCTACGGCTCATATCTGTCCCACCACCTCCATTGCCATGTCGTCACCCTGGTTAAGTCCGGCCATTTACCCTGCCTAATCTCCCATCTCATACCCTTCCAACCGACACTCCCTAGAATTGAAAAAGTAAGCCCTCTAAACTTGCAAATTAGATCACCTAAGCCTCGTGCCTAAAGCCTACCAGTGGCTCCCCATTACTACAGGATCGAATACAAACTCCTTCCCGTGTGACCCACAGCCTTCCTTGTCCTCATGAATTACTGTACTTAAGGCCCACCAAGAAAAACAACCCCAAGCCTTTGCTCGTGTTCCTCCCACTGCACTGAATGTTCTTTTATCTACCTGGAGAGCCACCGCCCGGTCTCAAGATCCACCTCAGTATGTGCACCTCCAAACAGCGTTCCTGACTCTCTGCACACGCTATCACCTTGAGAACTGTAAGCTCACTGACGTCAGGAACTGTCGGGACTCCATCTGCTCATCCACAGCATGGGGCGCATCATAGGAGCACGATGATTTTTGAAGAGTGAGTGAATGTGCAGAAATAATGAAAGTCCACCCTTCCACAAACCTTTTCTGATAAATTACAGAGCAGTAGCTACTTTTCACACTGCCAGGCTAGTTCTGGAGTGACCAGTCTACTGATACTCATTTCTACAGAGTCCTCTACTGGGTATTTTTAACCCCGTTGTCAGAAAAGGGGATGAAAGGTAAAGGCTAATGCCCAACATTGTAGAGAGAAAATATCTCCACAAACCCTAAGACAGGCTAAAAGAAATTTATTTTTTATTTACTTATCTTTTTAAAAAAGGAGAGAGCACAAACGCAGTCCCCCACTACCACAAATTATGCAGTTGAGTTTCCCACATTTGGGGAAATCACAGGGGTCAGCACACCTGGGGTGCAATGGATAAGCATCACCCTGGGAAAACCGCCTTCATGATCATGGTATCCCCAGTGCCAGATAAGTATGGAAATTTTAAATATATAACCTTAACCTCATGTATAAAAAGGGTTTTCTACAAACTGTGCTACCTTCCCAATTTAGCAGATTTGTACAATGACAGGAGAACAGAACTGGGCAGCTTCAAAAAGAGGCAGGAAGTTGTGCAGACATCCTATATTACTGGAGTCCTGTCCACAAAGGTTTTCAAAATCAGCTGAATAAAGCAAAAATCATGGTCTCAGGGAAACAGTTAAATGAGGGAATACCATATAAAAATATAACCGTTTTAGCTAACCCTTCCATCTTTCTCTACCTCCCATCCAGTAATAAAACTTTTCCCTTAAATATACAACTACACCAATTTAAAGAAAAAGCTAACTTACCAAATTTACACTACTTGAAGTTTAAAAACTCAATAAACCCATTCTAGCATACTTTGTCAGTGTCTCTGAGACCCTTGGCTTGAACTGAAATTGAAAATAAAATACGCATAAATTTAAAAAAATGGGTATTGCCAAAGAGTCAAAGACTTGGTGACTTCCAGACCTACTTTATGATTACATCTGTTTTTATTTTTGATATTCAAGAAATATACTGTTCAAACTACCACTTACAAAACTGCTATTCTTGTCATAATGTCATACAGCACAGCTCCATTCTCTGGAATCTGTCCCACAACCCCTGAGGACAGAGCCTACAACACTCAGATCTTAAAGATGCCAAAGTGTCAAGCAGGGATTACATCCACCCCACACTCCACCGGCATCTTTAGACTCTGAGGACTCTGAGAGCAAGAGTCACCCTCCTAAAGGGAAAGACAATCGCCACGGCAGAATCTCTCAAGTGAACTGCAAAGTGTAGTTTCTGACCTCCTCAATGTAACATTTACAGCTCTCTAGACAGAGGGAAGTATCAGGTGAAAATAGTTTTCTACTACACCTATAAATTCTTCAACTCCTAGCAAAATTAATAAAGAAAAGTCAGGAGAAGGATAAAGTGCTCTCACCGAATAACAAGCAAATGACATGGGGAACTCCAATCACAAGGAGAGAAATGAAGTATCAGCTGAGCATACAGGATGACGTCAAGCCTGACAACCTATTCAGGCCCCCACACTCAACCACTCACTGTCTCTGATTTACAGTATTACTTCTCTCATCTCTGACTTAAGCTGTTCCTTCCCCCGACAAACTCTTTTTCCTGGAGCTTTTTACTGTGTAATCATGCAACGCGTGGGCACCACAAAACACAATAAGCTTTACAAATTTGGTTTTAAGAATCAATATTATTTTCTCTACATACTTCCAAAATAGATGTCCCCCCTCCAACCCAGAAGATTTTAGTAAAACATAAGGACTGTTTTTAAAAAGGGGGGAGGATGGGTGTTAGGTATTTAGAATCCTTACTTTGGGTCCCACTTGCTTATACATCACTTTCCAGGCCTCAAAAATTTTTGTCCTACGTGAAAATAAGAAAAACCAAAGAAGCCCAGTGAAAATATCAAGAACAGCAGTAAGAGCTTAAGACCAAGATAAGAGACAAGATACAAATCCAAGGGGTTGGGAATAGGGGGTCTAAACACTGCTCTGGGTGTATTTCAGGTGTATTTCTAAAACGCTGCGGTCTATAGAAGACAAATATCACGATCAAAATGAAAGTTGAAAGCTGAAAATACATTTTAAAAAAAGAGACCTAGGCAAAGGCAGTGTGTACTTGGGAGTATACAATTCCATCTAATTCTCAAGAGTCCTGCAGGGCTAAGCCAACTCCCTTATTCCAGCAAAGTGAGGCCTCAAGGCGAGAAAGGTTTTATTCTCCACAGTTCTGGAAAAAGGCATAGAGAAATGTTTTGATGGGATTTAGGGGCAACAAAGGACAATCTGTTAAAGTACTTCAAAGTTCTGCCGCTAAGAGGCTCTGACCCCCCCATACATTCATCGGACCTGCCCCCAGAATTTCAGAAACAATAACAGCTGACTGGCAGGATACGCATTTCCAAGGTTCTCCTTCCTCCTAAAGGTCTCATCTAGGTCAGCATTGTCACAGTGTGAACAGATCTGTGATACCTGACTCACCAGAGGAAAAGTCTCACCAGCCCTGAGATGCCCCCATGGTGAGGTGTCCTGAGACAACTGATCTGCCTCCAGATACACTAGAAAAAGATTGTTTGGTTTTTATTTTCCTCAACACAAACAGGACTGGGGAGGGCGATGACAAGGCAAAGAAATGCACATACCTTTCAACTGATCAGCAACAACACTCTGGCCAAGGCGTTCAGTAACTTTCCCGTCTTCCATTTCGTACCGATCATCTAAGTATTTTGCTGTGGCCTCAGAAATGTGAACCTTGCCCGCCACTCCCAGCTGCTCCATGAGATTGGCCAAGTTCACATCATTGGACCACACATCGAATTTGAACCTCCTCATGCCCAAGATGCCACAGAGGACGGTCCCCGTGTGAACCCCGACACGCATATTCACCATCTCTTTCTTCTCCTGGCAGAACTGCTCGATAGCTCTGATCATGCCCAAGCCCATCTCAATGCAGCAGTAAGCATGGTCAGCCCGGGGCTCTGGACACCCTGCCACACAATAGTAGCAGTCTCCCAGGGTACTGATTTTCTCACACTTGGTCTCTTCACACAGCCGGTCGAAGCGACCAAACAGATCATTGAGAAGACCCACCAACGCGTGAGCAGACTTATTGGCACTCATCTTGGTGAAGCCCACGATATCTGCAAATAAAATACTGACTTCTTCGATCTGCTGCATTTTGAAAGGGCGGAATGCTATAGGGGCTTTCTGTATGGAAGACTTTTTCTTCCTGTTCTTGGGGCTCGAGGTGGCATGTCTTTTGACCGAATTCTCACTCTCCTCATCCCCCTGTTTCATCAGGTCATCAGCTATGATTCTTGGCATTACAGAATGAATCATCCTCTCTTTCAGGGCTTTTTCCACTTCCAGATCCTTTCCGTGCATAATTGACTGTCCCACCTTGAGAAAGGTGCTCCTAGATCTCACCTGGGACATGATAAATAGGTGGATCCCAATGGCGTGGATGCAGACGTGGAGCAGGGCTCGGTTCAGCAGCTCCCAGTGTGGCGCCCCTGCTCCAGGTGGGGGAAAGCAGTCTTTGTCTCGGAAATGATAGCCAAAGGTCTCAAAGAGAACAGAATAGACCACTCCCAGAAACAAGCTCAAGTACAAAGGTAAGTGCATGACGGTGTAAAGCAAAAAGAGCACTTCGATGCACATGGAAAAGCTCCCCACTTGAGATAAGCAAGTGTCTGTGGGCTTGGCTGTGAGGGTATGATTGGAGCTGTCAAGACGTCCTGAGAGAGGCGTCAAAACCTGAAACTGGGCGGCCAGGGTCAGGGCGAACACCAGGAGGGTGAGAACCAAAGAGGTCCACACGTAATGACGGGCATACAGCTTAGTGAAGGTAAACAGAAAAAAGCCCACACACACTACGAGGATGCACAGAGCTGGGGCTACCATGACAATCAGTCTGGACCGCATGTGGACCCCAAAATAGATGCTCCACAGAAGACAGGCGAAGCCGATGTAGAAGAGCGCATACCGGAAGCGGCGTTGGGTCTGCGGGAAGCAGCGCTCCATGCAAGCCTCCTCCAGGTTCACCGAGTCGAACTTGGGGTCCCACCACCGGCTGGAGGCCCTCTCGAACAGCTGGGGCAGCTTCTTCTGCCTGCGCAGGCGGCCTCCAACGCCCACTCTCCGGGGGACGCCCCCTGAGTCCCCAGAGCTGCTGCAGCTGGAGGAGATGCTGTACTTGCAGTGCTTGGGGTGGCTGTTGGAGGACAGCTGCTTGGGGTTGATTTTGACCCTCACGCTGTTGCTGTCTCCGCTGGAGTCACAACTCACCTCGGTGCTGTGGTGCTGCAGCAGCTGCTGGTGGGGCGGGGAAGCCATGTTGCCAAGCGCTCAGAACCTTCCCGGCCGGGGTCACTGGTACCTATCGGCGAAGACAACCAGAGTTACACTGGCACTGATTCCTACACAGGTACACACACCTGAAGGCCACGAGCTCCACCGGTTTGCTCGGCGGTGGCCCCGGCGGTCTACTTGGAGAGGCACCATATGCTCCCGAAAGCTGCGGCTAACGTCTAACCGGGACTTCCACCGTCCCGCCCCGAGGCCACCCGCAGCAATCGGGACGGACCCGGCAGCCCCGGGCCGGCGAGGCGTCGGCGCCCCTCGGCCCCCCGCGCCGCCCGCCCCGCGCACTCGCCTGCTCCGGCCGCCGCGGCCGTGGAGGCAAGTCCAGCCGAGCCCTCTCACGCCGCCAGCCGCTCTCGCCGGCACAGCTCTCCCGCCGGCGGCGGCTGGCCCCTCATACCGCGCCGAGCGGCGCCTCCCCTGCGTCAAAGGCCGGCGGCCCCGCGGGAGGCTGCGGACGCTGTGAGGGGCGGCAGCGAGGCCCCGGCGCCGGCGCGAGTCTGAGGAGCCCGCGGCGCTGCGGCCACCCCCGTCGGCGCGGCCCGTCTAGCGGGGCCTGCTCCCGGCCTCCGGGGCCGACCCAGCGGGGCGGGGATGTCCAGCGCCCCGGGAGACGCCGGGCGCCGAGCTCAGGGCGCGGCGGGCGCGAGCCCCTCAGCCGGCCGCCCTGCTAGGCGCTGCCGCAGAGCCCGCTCCCGCGACGCCGACCCGGGACGCCCGCCCGCCCACGCCCGGGGCGGCCTCCCGAGCTAGCGACGCCGCCGCGGCCGCGGCCGCCGCCGTGCCTCCCGCTGCCGCTGCCTCATGTCGGAAGAGCAGCCGCCGCCGCCGCCACCATCTCCGGCCCCCTCCCCCTCCCGCTGTCACTGACAGACTCGCCCGCGCCGCCCCTCGCCCCACCGCAGCGCGCACGCGTGGCCCGCGCACGCCGCCGCCGGACCCCGGGCGCGCGCACGGTGCGCGCGCCGGGCTGGAGCGGCTGCAGGGTGGGGGCGGGGCGGGCTAGCTGTGGCTCCGCCTTCAGTCCTCAGCCCGCCGCCCCCGGCGGCGCGGTGCCCCGACCGCCACCG